AAGTGCAATAGCCTCTTTCTCTCCGCACGAAGCCTGCCCGATATGGGGCCTGCACTGGTTGTGCCACAGACTCGTCCCATGGCAAAACAAAAGCTAATTACACTGACTCGGCACCTTTGTTCATCATCACAGCTACCATCTATCCTTCATGGCTCTCATGTTCCCGACGGTGATCTCTACTCTCATCCCGGCTTCGAGAACGCTCCCTTGTCCGGCCCTCACTCACTGTTTCATCCCTCGACACCATGGCCAAAAGATCACCCTCAGGAACTAGGCGGGGCGGAGGACGAGGGAGTTGATGTCGACGTCGTCCCGAAACTCGACGATGATGCGCTAGACGAGGACGAAGAGCATCCATGGGCAGATTGAAGACTTCAACTGCCTCGTCTGCTTGTACCAAGTACAGGTCTCGGTCGTTTTCAGCCGGCCATCTACCTTCAGGGACTTCAAGCTCGTTGGCACGATACAACCGTCGGACAGCCTGGCGCCATACCCTACGTCTATAGCCAGCAACCGTATGGGGTTCTTGTCCAGGTAGAAGACGACGTAGATCCTCCAGTGTTTCCGGCAGGCCTGGTTGCAGTAGTGCCACTGGAGCATCGACTGTGTGTCTAGTCGACGACGACGACACCCCCGAGCCAAAGCACACCTCCCCCGCAATCACTTCACAGACACGGCGCTCGGCGAGGTGACCATTGAAGGGGAGGGCCGTAAGCGGTTGTCGCAACCACGGAAGAGCTTCATCGATGGCCGCCCCTAGTAGCCTGTCCTCATGTGCCAGATGACGACGTCGAGCATGTAGTCTCTGGATAAAGTCCACCACATCCACACAATTGGACAGAACCAACTCACGGTCGACAGCGTCCCTGACAATGTCTTCCGGTCGCTCACGGTGAAGGGAAGAGGTGGTGGTGGTGCTGGTTGTCTGTATTTGCCGTCCTGAGCCCATTCGCTGTACCCAGGCAACTTCGTCCCCTCCATCCACATCCTCGCCGTTGGACCGAGGTGAGGTAGACGTCGTCGTAGAAGGCGGCGAGGTGCTGGACGACATCACAAACATCACCGCCACCATCCCGGTTGTAGTGCTCGAGGTCGGAGGGCCTGCTTGTGGTCGACTTGAGGAGGACCCCGTAGCTGCATTGACCGGCTCGTCGGGCTCCCTCCAAATGCCCACTGGCTCCAGCGTGACTGGACCAATTCTTGTCAGCAGCTCAGGGCTGAGCTCATCCCCCATTTCATTGGCGTGTGAGGCAGAGTCGACATCGCTGTCCTCGATGCAGTAGCCCTCGGAGTCAATCTCCCAGCCATCATGTGGTGAGTGAGCATCTGAATGTCCTGGTGCCTCCACTGCGTTAGTCGGCCCATCGCTCGACCCAGAGGGTCGTTCATCGGAGGATTGCATGACCGTTTCACCGGACACCGCCTGACTGCTCTGACTAGATGCCGGTGGGGGCGGGGTATTCTCCAACTCTCCTCCCTGAAGTGGCGTCGTGAGGTGTCGGTCGAACTCGTCCCTCAGGGTGTGGATCAACTGTCTGGACCACTGAAATAGCCTCCAGCGCGCAGCTTCCGTCGAAGGGACACGACGGATGGGCAGGAAGCCTCGTGGCATGAGCCTTCTCGACAGGACCTCCAGAATGGCCTCAAGAGAGTCCATCCCCTCCGACGCCCGCCGCACCATACAACTAAGCGCCCAGCGGCTTTCCGGTCCGGCATCGTGCGTCTGGAATTGATCCATGCGCTCAAACATCCTCTCGAGCTGTACGATGACGTCGTCCGGGATCCGATGCTCTTCCAATCTCGCCCGCTCGGAGTTGGTCATCTGCATGAGTCCCATCTCGTCCCCAGCATCCTCAGGTTCGGCAGAAGGATCCATCCACGTCGTCCTTGTAGTGCTCGTGAGGGGCCTCGCCGATCGTGTCAAGGAGGAGGAAGAGGTCACATGGGGTGCGGCAGTCGAAGTTGTCCCCAAGGTCGCGGAGGTTGACGTGCACAACAACAACGTAGTCCACTGCGAAGGAGAGGGCCCACCCAGTAGTCGTACTCGATGTCGCCCACCATAATTCCCACTCCTCATTGGTCCATTGCATCCACCAAGGTTGTTCTCCAGGGCCCTGTCCTGTCTCCACTGTTCCGCCCACTGTTGCGGACTGGTTGGCCTGCGACGCTGGTGGTTCTCCACTGGCAGGCTGGTGTTCGGCTTCCCGTTGTTCACGTTCTCGAGCATATTGTCGTAGCCATGCGGGTCGCCATTGCCCCTGCAGGTACTCTTCCATGCGCAGCTGCTTCTTCAGGGTCCTGCGTGGGCCAGAGCCCCCTCGGTGTTGGCGAGCTTCTTCTGGTGTCCTTGCTCGCGCACTCCGTGATGCCAGAACCCAACCGTCTGGTTGTTGTGTGGTCTGTCCTCGTCAGTGCTCTCGACATCCGCCACCATGCCGAGGTCAGCGTTGGGCTCCGTCACAGGCGAGTCGTCGGTGGTCGTGTTGTGTCCGGGTCCAGACTCTTCTCCTGCTGTGGTCGATACATCAGACTGTGGAGGAGCTCCGCTTCGCACCTTAAAGGTCTCCCCGTAGAACGTTTCCACCACCACCACTGGTTCACTTGTATGCAAACTCGTCCCAGTGACCGTGAAGGGCTCCGCTTCCTCTTCGGCCACGGTGGGGAGGGCTTGTCGTGCTCGGTGTTTAAGAGTTCCATCGAGGTTGTGCCAACGATCTCGTCCCGGTCGCGCGACGCCTCTTCTGACGATAATTCCTGCCTCTGTGTGGCCCTGAGACGAGGTTGCAGGCGTGGAGACGTCGGATGGGCAGTGGGCTGCGTCTGACACTGGGCTCGACGAGGATGCAGACGAAGGGCTCGGCGATGCAGCATCAGGCAAAGGGACTTCGCCGGGCACGGTGACAGTTGGTGAACTCGCCGAAGACGATGCGAAGTCACTGATGGGAGTCCATTCCCCCTCGTAGGTGTCCCATTCCCATCTCTGCTGGCGTTCCTCAACATGGCAGGTCGGGTCATACCCTCGGTGTTCAGTATTGTTGGCGGAAGAGCCATGCGGAATTGCCGGAGGTCTGCCTCGGAGTCCCCTTTTGTCAATGACCATCTGGAGCCAGTCTGTAGTGGAGGATGCGGCCGCGTTTTCTGTCTGGTCATAGTCAATCCAGCCACTTGTAGATGCCGAGGACGCATGACGTTGCCACCACCACGAGCTGTTCGATGGGGAACTTGTAGGTTCGTCCTCGCCAAGGTGGCGGTTTGTCTCGCTTCCATTGTCCATGTTCCCCGTCTGGGCATAGTCGGTCCAGTCACCTGTAGAAGGCGCCGAGGTCGAAGGATGTTGCCACTGCCAAGGACAGGTCGACACTGGCCCTGTGTGGACGGGGGTCCCTCCAAGTTCGGTTTGCCATGGCCGGGCTTCCTGTCCTTGGTGTGTCCATGCCGACGGGGTTTGCGGCCCTGTTGGTTCGCCGTCGTCTGTCCTTGCCATGGTGGATGGAGGTGTGTCATCCCAGCTGCTCCAGCCGAACTGGTTCTGCAACTCCGCGGCGTCAATTTCCTCCTGCTGTAAGGCAAGGGAAACTTCCTCGTCCCAACCAGCTGCCATATGTAAGACGTGCTGCTGGTGTGCGAAAGAGCTTTCTGGAGGTAGGCTTGAGGATGGGCAGGTCGGTCGGGTAGGCGCCGAAGATGAAGCCGAGGTCGACGTCGAAGTTTCATCCCAACGATGTTCCCAGAGGTGTCCCGGGTAGTCGTCCGGGGAGGGTGCCAAACCAGGGAAGCCCACGAACGCCATCGCGAAGAGTCGCCTCACGTTGATCTTCGCCATGGCCGGAGATGGAGGGGAAGAGCGTGAAGGTGGGGCCGTACGGGAATCCTTGAACCAGGAACTTGCACGGGCAGGTAATCATTCACACAGGGGAATTTCACAATCAGCTTCAGAGACATGTAGATAGCCATGAACACATCAGCACGGAGCTTCACCTAGTTCACGACCATGACATGGTAGCAAAACTTCACTTGAGAACTAGTAGCGGATGGCGAGTTGACGCCCCTGTGTCCATTTGATATCCCAGTTATCAAGGTACTCGGCCCGATGTTGGCTCCACTGGTCCCGATTTTGAGCGAGAAGGGGCCAATTAACCCCGTGTGTTTCACTCATCTGTCTCTCAGTGTTGGAAGCGTAGAAACGTGTTGGGTGTCTCTCACCGACGATTGGTCCGAGGCTTTGTTGGTGCCTCCACCATCCTTGGGATCTCCAAAGGAGGGTGCGCATCGGCAACGATGGGAAGACTCTGTTTGGTTGCACGATCTCGGTTCTTCTTGCCCAGTGGCCGAAAAGGGTGTGCTGTAGGGTTAGAATACTGGTTGACCATCGGCTATGTCCATGTGCTGCTATCCATGCTCTGCACTCCCTCATTGATCTTGCATTCCACTCGTACCATGTTTCTTGACCGCGACGATGAAGGCGAAAGGCATCTCTCAGGGTGTGCATCTGGAGCATATTCGCTTGTCTCAGATCTTCCGAGTTCCAGAAGACAGCACCAGCTGTCCAGTAGAACTGACTGGCTACCAACGTCCCTACCATTGAGGCTTTCCGTCCCCACGAAGCTCTTCCCCGTAGAAGTTCACGATGAGCAGCAGCTGCGGACCTGGCACGGGCGAGGAGTTCTCTGGCCTGTTGGGAGGGGGAGTCGTAGAAGTTGAAGGACAGGCCCAGCACCTTAAGAGACTCAGACGGCTTGGAGATCACGTACATGTTCTCCCCCACTTGCACACGTCGTGGTCCACGGTATGAGGGGGACGCGATAATCTTTGTCTTCTCAGCCGCTAGGATCAGGCCACTGCGTTGAAGAAGCCTCGCAAGTACATTGACACGCTTACCAAGTCGCCCCAGTTGGGTCTCAAGCAAAAATATGTCGT